CGTCTTTCTCCCCAGCTCTTACCTAAAGCTTCCAGGTGCTTCGTACCTCCGCGTGCGCACTAGATTGGGAGGCAGATCTTTGCTTGGGCACTGGAGGTGTGGAACAGCACTTGGGAGATGTAACACCTCCCACGCAGGCCGAACCGCGTTTCAGACTCCAAGGAGTAACCCCCTGCTGCCTCTGGTTTGTAAACTAAATGGGGTTCAGGTGGAGAAAGCTGTGGAGGCTCCAGTGGAAGAAGCAAAGGTGGGGAACCGCCTTCCAGGAGCTCCCTGACTTCCAGGCATTCCCTGAGCCTCGGGGCGCCCCCTTGCACTCTGAGGGTCAATCCTGGAAGGGACCTTAAACAACTAAGTTCTAGTCCAGCTAGAGGAGACGGGCAAATGCAGCAAGGCCTCCCTCCGTGTTGTTCATAACGAAGAGCATGATAATTTACCCAGCACTTAGCCCCTTAAAACAGTACACTTAGGGGCTGGTGAGATGGCTCAGCGGTCTAAAGCACCTACTTAGAACAAGCTTAGCAAAACCCAGGGGCCGGCGTTTCATTCCCCAGCACCACATGCCAGCCAGCCCCGCCCCCTGGTGGGCTGAGCTGGCCACACACACACACACACACACACACATAAATAAATAAAAAAAATTTAAAAAAAAAAGTACACTTAGGACAGCAGAATGTGGGTCAGGACACGGAGCCCGTGGCCAGAGGCTGCCCCTGGCTCCCGTCATGTGGGCCTTTCCAGCATAGCAACTTGTATCATCCAAGCGCACAAGCCAAAATGGCAACAGAGCGATTCTGCAAGCAAGACAGAGGTCATGATTTCACCAGAAGCAAGTCACGGGTTTTGTCCACTCTCAAGAAAAGGGGATCGGGACAGCAGTGTATCAGGTGGTGGGAACCTGGGTCTCACCTGAGAAACTCCCTGCTGCATGTAGTGTGACACAGTCCAAGGAGGTGGGTGCGGGTTGAACATCCTACTGTCAAGAGATTCACCCAGCGAGTACTGTCTGAAATGCGTCTTCAGTACCCATGCCGGCCCCAGGAATGGGTCACTGGATAGAGGAGGTAGGGGAGGCCAGCTAGAGAAGCGGGTGGGACCTGTCAACTGCAGGACCTCAGGGCGGAGGAACCTCCGTGTGGAGCTCTAACAGCTCTCATGGAATGTGGGTGACAAAGATGCAAAGCCACAAGGGCCCTGCCATTGTGGCCCTGAGGGTGACTCATCCTGGGGCTCCCAGACCCAGGGTGTTCTTGTGGTTTTGCTCTTGTTTTCCTTTCCTCCTTTGTTCCACCTAAGTTTGCTCAGCAGAGCCAGTTCTTCCCTTGGCCCTTCACCTCTCACCTTTGAAATAAACATTTGGTACCGTCTTTGGTGTGAGTCATCCTAAGCTTTGTTCTAGGCAAGAAGCACCTGGAATATGTGCGATTGGCAAGCCATCTTTAAAGGAATTACCTGACAACAGTGCACTTAAAGGTCTCCTCCAACTCTGACATCCCCCTTTCTGGTAGGTGAAAAGTGTTGCCCTGGTCTGGAGCCAGCATCTTCGTGTCACCATGGCCGTCATCATGTGAGGAAGTTCCTTTAAAAGCAGCCTTGCAGGGCTGGTGAGATGGCTCAGTGGTCTAAAGCACCTACTTAGAACAAGCTTAGCAAAAACAAAGGGACCGCGGTTCAATCCCCAGCACCACATGCCAGCCAGCCCCGCCCCCTGGTGGGCTGAGCTGGCCACACAAATAAATAAATAAAAAATTTTAAAAATAAAAAATAAAAGCAGCCTTGCAGCTCCACGATTTCATAGCTCTGTTCTCTAGGCATAAATCTGAGAAGGGAGGCAGCTCAGCGGCACAGCACTGGTCCAGCAGGCAACAGGCCCTGGGTTCAATATGTAGCAAGACAAAAAAAAACCTCCTGTATGGTATAAAGAGGGCTTGCCCTTGGCCAGAATGAGAGGTTTTGACCACTGAGTTACCTTGGCCAGGGACCTAACCACAGAATAGCAGTATTTGAGTAAGGGACAATAAGATTGCGTAATAAGCATCCATAGAAGGGGGAAGTATCAGTGCCATTTTCCTTTGCTGCAATTCATGGGCTGATGTGGACTTGTGTGAATGTTTAACATTAACACCAAGAATATAGAAACCACGTAACAAGGGTTAGTTTACCAAATAAAACTTTATATTCTTTCATTCTTCTTCGCTACTGCTTACTTATAAATTGTCCTCCATCAGTACTCCTTAAACATCTTGATTCAAATAACCGGAATCATGGGCCCTTTGAACGGAGCCACAACGAGTTTTGGTAATTCTGGGAGGGGGCGCCATTGAGAACACGTTCCCTGGCTTCCGGTGCTCACGGAACCACTACAGCACTGCACAAGTTCTGGGGGGCGGGGGTGCTCCGTGGACCTCTGAGGATCCTGAGGCATTTTCAGGCAGTCTTCAAAGAGAAAACTACTTTCATGATGATGCTAAACATGTGACTTGGCTTTTTCCTGTGTTGACGTTTGCTCCGATTGGCGAGGAAAACACAACTACTCCGAGGCAGATGGTGCCCCTGAGAACTACCCTCTCCCCTCCCGTGCTCCACGAGACCCAAAAAGCCAATTTCACTTTGGAATTCCCTTCAAGTAGCCATGAAATTATTAAATCCTGACCCTCGAGAGCAGAACATTTTACTACCATCTGTGATGAAGCAGGCAGGAAGAAATCAATCATTTCCGGTGCTCACGGAGCCCCTGATGGGCTCCCAAGAACGCAAGTGTGCAGGAAGGGAAAAGAAAAAGCAGGTCTTCCACTTGTGCTGCTGCACACAGAGCTACTGAACGCACTGATTTTTTTTTTTTTTTTTTTCACGGAACAGCGTTTTTAATCAAAAGGGTGACTGACAAACTTCACGCCAGGCCTTTGGCAGGCATCTTCACAAAAATGAACAGAACAAGCCTGGCACTTCAAGGACACCCACTGACAGTGGCCCATGGTAAAATTCAAGCCGTCAGCTAAAAACATGGATTTTTAGGAAACCTGTCAATTAAGATGGTTTTCTGTTCCATGCGTGACAGTTTCTCAATACTTCACAACTTTTTCTCATAAAGCTATAAAAAGATAAGATTTCTTGTGTTTTATAGTGAAATATGTCAAAATTTTGAAGATCTGCACAAATTAACAATCATGTTTTTCCAAATGACCAGTGGACAAGGTTATAAAATCATTACTGAGTAAAAAGCCATCCAAAGTGTAAGACAGACAAGTAGACTTTGACAAAACTAAGTATAAAACATTCATTATTATGGCTTCATTTTTGACAATGCAACTAATCTTTAAGAAACTGCTAATTAGGGGCTGGCAAGATAGCTCAGAGGACTAAGCGCCTGCTTAGGCAAGCCCAGCAACCAGGGTTCAATCCCCAGCTCCACAGGTGCCAGTCCTGCCCCCCAAGACCGGGCTTGGTGGTACACGCCTGTAATCCCAGCACTAGGGAGGCTGAGACAGGAAGATTACTATGAGTCTGAACTGTGTAGCAAGACCCTGTACCAAATAAACAAATAAAAGATTACTAATAATAATAATCCACAACAGATTAAATACACAACTAGATATAAGGATCCAACTCTTTGCTATTAATCGAGATGCAAAAAGATACTTGCAAAATTATCAAAGCCATACTTATAATTTTTGTTTTAAAAAATTAGTTGTTTTTATTATATTTAACCTAATACAACCAATAAATTACCTTTTCAACATGTAATCAAAATAAATTACTAATATTTTACATAAAAAATAAATAAATAGTTGTTTTTCTTTAAAGTGTCATTGAGGTTGATCAAACGCATATCTGGGATCCTGCCACTCGGCAGGCTGAGGCAGGAGAACTGCTGCAAGTTTAAGAACAGTCCAGGCTACGCTGTGAGGTCGAGGCCACTTTGGGATACATCGCCAGACT